TTTTTTTTAGTTGTTGATAGACTTTTTTTTTATTTATATGTAGTGCTGAGGATCGAACCCAGTACCTCACACATGCAAGGCAATAGTGCTACCACTGAGCCCCAGCCCCTACAATTCTTTTTACACATATATAATTTATTTTATTTTGAGATGGGATCTTGCTAAGTTACTTAGGCTGGCCTTGAACTTGCTTACCTCCTGCCTCAGCCTCTCAAGTAGCTGTGTCCCACCACACCTGGCAATTTAAAATTTTTTCTGTGTCTTCTGGGTTTTCTCCAATAAACATGTATTCACTGTTGAATTCCTATAACAATAATTTTCATGAGGTACTCTGCTTCTTGGGTAAGGTGTGTCTTTCACATATTCAGATCACTTATGCAGAACAGTGTCTGCCCCCCTACCTGTCTGTCCTCAAGCCATAAGGAGGCTGTCCAACAGCCAGAGTCAACATGAGTATGTCATCCTAGTTTCAGAAGGGGCTGCCCCATGTGAGGAAGACCTGGACAGCGTCCATGAGCAGGTCTGAGTCCCTGTGGCCCAGGAAGCTGCTGGCACAGGGCATCAGCTCAGAACCCAGGCCTCCAGCTCCTTGATGCAGAACTGCTCGCGCCGGGCCAGCACCTCATTGTTGAAGGTCGCGCAGGGGTGGCTTCCCCCGTGATACAGGTCTCCGTCTAACCATAGCCCAAACTGGCCGCTGGAAAGAAGAAGATGTTGGCATGACTCAGCCCTGTATGTCAGGCCTCAGAATCCACCACTGCCAGCCCTTAGCCACGCCATCACAGCTGCCCAGTTGGCTCCTCATTGTTCCTTAGACCAACTTATCCTGACTTTTCGGGGGATTCAGCATGTTGTTCCCTGTGGGGCTTAAAGCACTTTTAAAGGCAATTCAAGGATTTTCATAAATACCTACAGTGGTACAGCCATCCCCACAGCCCAGACACTTGGAACATTCTGATCCCCACATTTCACAGAAAACCTAGGCTGGAGCCAAGAAGTGAATTACTGCAAATCAGCAATGGCTGATGTGTTTGTGCCAAGCTGCCTCTCAAAGGAGGCTTTTCAGGCAGCTGGGAAAGCAAAAGAATTTGGTACTAATCAAGCAATGCTTTCATCTCTGCCCTCAGGGTAAAACTCATTAATGTGCCTGCTTTTGAAGGTCACACCAAGAGTGAGACCAGCCTCCTTTTTCCTAACTCTCTCCCATCTCCCAGACATACAGAAGCCCGGGTTATTAGAGGAGGGCAGATGTAGCCTTCCTCTAATTAAAGTTAGGTCCCCTAGGATCACTGGGCTGACTGGCAAATCTGAGCCTTGCCATCTCTGGACTCCAGCCTCATCCAACCATGTCATTGTACCCAAAGTCACATGAATTCGGACTCAGATGTATAAACTGGTGGGGGAGTTTGTGCATCTTCTTGCTTACTCCTTGGCTTCCATGAGGTTGAGAGTTTGGCCCAGGGGGAGGACAGTGACTGAAGGAGAAAGTGAACCCCCAGCCTCCCCACTTCATCTGGAGCAGTTACAGCCTGCAGTTATGGAGAGAGAAGGGGTCCAAACACAGACTCCACCCCAAGACTCGGGAGGATGGCGACACTCACCTGCCACTGCCCATCATCAGGGAATCCAAGTCTCCTTTCACAAAGAAAGAGTTGCTTCCTGTCCACTTAAAGACCTGGGGTGACAGACAAAGCTCAGGGTTACTGGTGAGTCCTGGTTGTGCAGTCTGACTCCAAGCCACTAGATGGCAGCGTCGTGGAGGGAATAAAGCCTCCAGGGCCCAACCAAGCTGCAGGAACTCTGGGCCCCAGGCTCCTGAGATTTCTCTTCTCCTTGTTCACCTCTCACACCCTGTAGTTTGAGTTTCCACAGCCTAGAAGCGCCTTCGCTCTAGGAATAGAACAGAAACCTCTGAGGCTTCCTGCTTCCAAAGCTGGAAAGAAGTGGAGCCGGGACTGATTCCACCATGAACATGCATGTCTCACTTCAGGTCAACCAAGCCTGCCTGTCCCCAACAACTTGCCTCCTCCCCCGTGCCCTGGCCACAGCCTCCCAATGTTTTTGTCCCACCAGCTCCTGCCCCAGCCCATCTCCACACTGTGACCTGAGTGTTCTATTTGGAATCTGTAATGGGGGAAGTCCAGCTCCTTACTAGAGCCCCTGGCGCAGCTGCCTGCACCCTGATTTTCTCTCTGATCTCTTCTCCTCCTGTTGACTGCACATGAGCTACTCTGGCCTTGCTGTCCCTGGAACATCCAAAGCTCATTCCTGCTTAGACCTCTGTGCTCACCGTCCTGCTGCCCAGAGGGCTCTTCCCCCAGGTCTACTAGGACCCTCTTCTCTTTCAGCTTAAGGGTCATCCCAGAAACGTTCCTGGACATCCCTATTAAGGCCGTTCTTCCTCCAACCCTGTCTTGTCCTCCTTGGCGTTTACCCTCGGAGAGCACTCATTCGGCGGCGTCTGTGTGCCTTACCCGCCCACTGAAATGGTCCAGAGGGCAGCTTGGTCCCTGGCACAGTGGAGTGCTGTGGCTGAATTCATTTGTTAAATAAATACATTATTTAAGAGTCAAATTAGGCAATAAAAGGACAATAAGGTATATTATTGCCAGCAATTAGTTGTAAAAACAAAACCTAAAAAGGACTAATTAAAAGATAAGTCCTGGCTCAGAAGGAATGAGATAATATTAGCAAGTAACCACAGGAAAACAGAACTGTTGCCAAGCACAGTGACACACTTCTGTAATCCAGCCACCCAGGAGGCTGAGGCAGGAGGATCACAAGTTCAAAATCAGCCTCAGCAACTTAGCAAGGCTATAAGAAACTTAGTGAGACCCTGTCTTAAAAAATAAAAAGGTCAGGGATGTGGCTCAGTGGTTAAGCACCACACCCCCTGCGATTCAATCCCCTGATTCAAAAATAAAAAAATTAAAAAGAACCATTGAACACTTCCTCAACTTCCTTCAAAGACATGACCTCCAGACTTGAAACCATAAGATAAATATTGCTACAGAAAAAAAATTAAGATGAAGTTCATGGTGCTGCTTAGAATAGCAATCAAAGGGGGCTGGGGATGTGGCTCAAGCGGTAGCGCGCTCGCCTAGCATGCGTGCGGCCCGGGTTCGATCCTCAGCAGCACCACATACCAACAAAGATGTTGTGTCCGCCAAGAACTAAGAAAAAATAAATAAATGTCCCCCTCTCACTCTCTCTTTAAAAAAAAAAAAAAAAAAAAGAATAGCAATCAAAGGATGAAGCATTGGGAATTCATGAAGGACACAGAAGTGCCCGAAGACCAAAGACAGTAAAGAATTAACCAGTTTTTTAAGAGACGGGATTCCATAACCATAGGCAGGGAAGGCAGACAGTGTCCCCCTGAAGAAAAACATCATTCATTTCAGTAACTTTTTTAGCACTTATGCACTAGGCACGGTTTAAGTACTAGGTACAATGGTGAACACAGTAGGTTAAAATCTCTGCCTCAGAGGACTCACATTCTAGTGGAAGGAAGCAAATAAAAAAGTAAGAAATAGCATGTTAGAAGGTGAAAATACTAGGGAGAGAATGAGAAGGGCAATAAAGGTTTTCAGGGAATGGGGGGGTGATAATTTTGAATTACCTAGGCAGGGTAGTCACTGAAATGGCAACATTAAGACAAAGTCCTGTGGGATGGAGCTATGTGGAGACCTAAGAGAAGAGCATTCTGGGCAGAACAGCATGTACAAAGGCCCTGAGGTAGAGTAGACCTATGTCCAAATGCCAGTTCAGGCCAGTGTGGTTGGAGCAAAGTAATGGGAAGGAAAATGGTAAGAAACAATATCAGAGACAGGCCAGGTCATTGGTCTTTGTACAGACTTTGGCTTTTCTCCAAGTGAAAAAGGAAGCCAAAAAGCAACATGCTGTGACTTCCTTTTCAAAAGGATCACTCCAGCTAACTGTTAGGACTGCAGGTAGAACCAGGGAGACCCATTAAGATACTGCAGCAGGAACAAAGAAGGCTTGAACCAGGGTGACAGCTAAGCACGTGTCTAGACGTGGAGGATTCTGAATGTAGGCGGAGGCAGCTGTTAGCCCAGATGCGGATGTGAGAGGAAGAGGGAGCTCTCCAAGATTTTTTGGTCACAGTGGCAGAGAAGATGGAGGTACCATTATCTCTGGTGAGGGAAAACAGGGAGAGGAGCAGATTTCATGGAGCAAAGACAGGAGCTCAGTTTCAGACAGGTTAAGCTTGACATGTCATGTTGGAGAACCAAGCAGAGGTGCTGGGCAGCGGTTGGCTGTGTGAGTCTGGAGTCCAGGGAAGAGGTCATCAGCATGTGGTTGGCATGGAAACCTGTGAGGGTGGATGAGACCACAGAGGAAATGAGGGTTGGCAGAGAAGAGCTGAGAACCCAGAACTGATCCCTGACAGTAAGAGGGTTGGAGGAAGAGAGGGAGCCAGCAAGAGGCAGACAAGGAGTTGGCCTGCAGTAGGAGGAAGGTTCTAGAACTCTAGTATGCGGACACTGGAGGGGCAATGGTGATGACCAGCATCCTGACCATGCGCAACTGGCGCCCGTCTCCCAGGAAGACTGGAGGAGGCTCTGGCTGGTGGAGGCTAGACAGACAGCCTTTGGCAAGGTGGTCTGCACTTATTAGAAGAGCTCAGAGCAAACCGAAGCCCCTGGAACTAATTCTCCACCCATAGAAGAAAATGTGAATCAGTATTTCTTGATGACTGTGCCCAGCCATATACTCCCTGCTCCACCCTGTCTCTATGGATGCCTGAATGTGCTCCTGGCCCCCAAGCACAGCTCCGAGAACTCCTCTGACCCGCTCAGTCACCTGCTCATCTTGGGTTTGTCTATCAAGATCCATCTCCAGAAGCTCCTCCTCCAGGAAGCCTCCCTGATCACCCACCCCACCAGACACAGGTGCCTCTGCGCTTCTTCCGGAGCCCTTCTTACTCAGTTTAGTGTTCAGCTTTCCTTCCCCAGCGCAGGAGCATCCTAAGCCGGGGACCCTCTGCAGTTCAGAGAGGTCGTGCTGTGCTGCGGCTGCATTCAGACTCCTGTCTCGTCCTCACCTCCGGCAACTGGGTTAACTGGGGCCCATCATTCAACTTCTCTCTGCCTCAGTTTCCTCCTCTATAGCATGGGGATGATAATGGCACAGTCCTCTGGTGTGTGGAGGCGGGAAGGTGACCCACAGCAGCCATCATGTTGATTCATGTTAAAAGTAGGGTGCTCCCTGCCACCCAAGCAGAGCTCCGTGGCTTCCTTCAATAAGGGACCCAGAGGCAGAAAATTGTTGGATGGAAGACGTTTGGGATGGGAAATGTTTGGGACTATTATTATTGTCCTTCAGAAACCCCATGACGGGAAGCAAGAGCTCGAGTCTGTCACCTTAGACCACCTGGTCTTTCTGACAGCTTCTCCCTCCTTCAAGAGCCTCAGCTCCATCATAGCGACTCGGGAGGCTAAGGCAGGAGGATCACACACCAGCCTCAGCAACTTACTGTCTCTAAAGAAAAAATAAAAGGGGGCTGGGGATGTGGCTCAGTGGTAGAGGCTTGCTCATAAAAAAACATAAACAGTCATTGTGTCCATCTACAACTAAAAATATTTTTTAAATAAAATAATAAAAAGGGCTGGGGTGTGGCTCAGTGGCTAAGCACCCCGGATCCAATCCCTGGTACCAAAAAACAAAAATAAGGAAAGAGCCCCAGCTCCTTGGCAGATGGTGCCACCCGAGATACCAGCCACCTGTGGCCGTCGGTCACGGGTCTCTTCATCCCCATCACTCACCATCCCCTCCTCTTTCCTGATTCCGGGTGAACTTCCATCCCTGTTCCCGCCTACAGTCTTTTTCTCTTAACCTCCAGAAGGTTCTCAGCTACTGTCTTCCGTGGTCACCTCGGGGGACTTGTCCTCATCAGGGATGGCAGAGAACTTCTCCACAGTCTAGCTCAAATGTCCCTTGTATGCCATATCCAACAGGTCAACACACTGTTCCCTGCTCCTCAGGGAGACCTGTCCTCTACTGAGGCCAATTTTGAATTTTGTCCCAGTATCCCTCAGTCTGGTGGCTTCCCTTGCCTCTTTCCAGCCTAGGTTCTGTGATGCATTTGGGATATATATATGTATATATGGTTGTTGATGGACCTTTTATTTATTTGGATGTGATTCTGAGAATCGAACTCAGGGCGTTACCACTGAGCCACACCCCAGCCCCATGTGGTGCGTTTTGTATTTTCTCTCCTTCAACCTGCTCTTCCCTCTCTGCCTGTGTGTGTTGGGGGCGTTGAGGGCAGGGAGATGGGATATGCCCCAGAGTTCTGCTTATGCCAGGCAAGTGCTCTACCACTGAATTACATCCCCAGCACTTTTTATTTATTTTATTTTGAGACAGGGACTCGCTAAGTTGCTGAGGCTGGCCTCAACCTTACACTCCTCCTGCCTCAGCCTCCCAAGTTGCCCAGATTACAGGTGTGTGCCACCATGCCTGGCTCCCTTCCTGCCTCGGCTCAACCAACTTGGCCAAACCCCAATCCTGGAGGACCCTCCCATCCACCTTTCTCCAGGCCTGGCAGAGGTGATGGACACGGCTGAGGGGTTGTCTCCGCCTTGAAACTCACAGGCCCAAACCTCCACCCGCCACAGCCTGGCGGTCCTGTCCCACAGTCTCCTCTAGGGCCCCCTCCCCACGCTGCGGATCCTGGGTGACTCCCTCCCTCTCCTTCACGCCCCTCCTCCATCCTCACTCTTAGCTGAGGACCTCACCTGTGCTTCCCAAGAAGCCATTGGCCACATCCTCCTGCCACCACACCTCAGGACCATCTGCTCTTGGGCCCCTGCTGCCTTTCCATCTTGTGCCTGGAGAGCGGCACCCCTCCCCTCAGCCCGTCAGTGGTCACTCAAGACCTACAGAGCATTTTCTTTTTCAAGATGGACAGGCCAAGGGGATGCTCTGCTCTTCGTTGCCCTGCTGCGTCCCCCTGGGTGGAGAGAGGGACACCAAGCAGCCCAGCATGGGGGTTGGAGCTGGGGGCCACTGGGACCCTGGGAACTGTGGCTGCCAGAGAGCCCCCCGCCCCATAGGAAATGAGGACCTCACCTTCAGCTGTGGGGAGAAGGAGAAGAGGAAGGTCTCGCCTGTGCCGTAGAAGCCCTTGCTGAGTCGAAGGGCTGAGGAGGAGAAGGCGCCAAACATCTGGAAGGCAGAGGACAGGGGTCTGACACTGGGAGGGAGTTGGGGTCCTCTGGCCACCCCGTCCTGCAGACCCGGTGAGGCAGGCTTGTCCTCAAGGCCCCAGGGGAGCCCCCCTGGTCTCTACCTGCACCCCTTCCCTGCCGATCCCCGGAGAGCCCGTGGGGCCTCTCAGTGTCAGCGCCCTGCCGCCGCTTCTCAAACCCACTTACTTTACACAAGTACTTCCAGAAACCCGGGAGGTCACAGACAAGCAAAGACAAAGCGGGACCCTCCCAGATCCCCTTCAGGCTCCCCAGGGTAATTTTTCACATTTTTGGTGTGTCTCCTCTGGCCTCAGGTTAATGCCGGTGTGCACACTTCCACACGAAAGCAAAGTTCCATATAATGGGCTGGTTTGGGGCACTGCTCCCCTCACTTCTATTCCCCCAATCTTCTAACACTGGGATTGAACCAGGGGCGCTTTACCACCGGCTACATCCCCAGCCCTTTTTATTTTTTATTTTGAGACAGGGTCTCATCAAGTTGCTTAGGATCTTGCTAAATTGCTGATCCTCCTGCCTCAGCCTCCTGAGAAGCTGAGACTACAGGAGTGTGCCCTTGCATCATTTCAAGTTGAAAATCCATAAAGTCGTTATCCTCACTTTTTTAACAATTTCAAACAAAAAAACTTCAAAACACAGTACAGATCCCCCCACTACACTCAAAATCATAAAGTTGTTTGCTATATTTGTCTCTCTCCCCCGCCCCCACTCCCTCTCCCTCTTCATTTATATATTTCTCTGGCCCATTTGAAAATAAGCAGCAGATACTATGACCACACCAAATAGTTCATCTCCTATGAATGGAGACTTTCTCTTACATAATCACAGTACGACCATCCCCCCTAAGAGAATTAACAATAATCCCATAATGTCATCTAGTAGCTACTCCCTATTCCAATTTTTCCAGTTGTCCCAAGAATGCCTTTAATATCATGCTTAAAAAAAAAAACACAAAAACTTAACACGCTTAATAGGTATGCTTTACATCATGTTTCTTGATTGCCTGGTATTTCACTGTACGGAGTGAAACCTCATTCACTCTGTGGAGGGATTTGCATTGACTTAGCCATCATCCTCTGGTGGGATAGGTAGGTGAGCTGTGGATTGTCACCATTATAAATGGCGCTGGGTGGCAGAGGTAGGATCACTGGGAACAGCTGGGTTGGGGGCTTCATATTAGGAGGAACTTCCTCACAGTCAATGGTTTCTGCCACACAAGGGGCTGCTTCTGAAGAGAGTGAGCTTCCTGGCCCTCCGGTAGGGACTCCTTCCATCAGCATTGGGAGACAGGCACTCTGGCCCAAGTGGAGGGGTACATCCTCTGGAATCCCTGACATCTCTCCCAGCTCTAGTATGTTCCTTCCACAGGAGATCATCATTTGAAATGAGCTACCAGTTCCACCCCTCCTTTGATATGGAGAGCCTTCTTGGAAATCCACCATTGGAAAGACCACATGGACGTCAGGCATAGCTACCTCAAGCCTCCTCTTATAAAATGCACGAGTCAGCTGCCTTTTCGGACCTGCTTCCCTTCTCAGCTCCTCCAACTCATCCTTCTCCCACCAGTTAGGGGTGATTTCCAAACAAGCAATGGCCTTAGGCTGCGGGTATAGCTCAGGGGTAGAATGCTTACCTAGCATGCACAAGGTCATGAGTTCAAGTCCCCGCACCAAAAGAAAGAAGCTCAAAAAAAAAAAAAAAAAAAAAACACCACAGGCTGAGGCTGTAGCTCAGTGGCAGAGCGCTTGCCTAGCATGTGTGAGGTACTGGGTTTGATCTTCAGCACCACATAAAAATTAACAAATAAAATAAAGGCATTCTGTCCATTAAAAAAAATACACTGATATTTAAGCTGTAGATCATCTGCTTAAAATCCCTCCATAGTTTCTTGTGCTTGGAGGCTAACAATGCACTTTTGTTTTATAGTCAAATGATTATTTGCTTAAGGCCTGAGCCCTCCCCCCATTAAACTATTAGCTCCAAGAGGGCCGGGACCTTTCTGGGGTGATTCCATCTAATCTGGATGTAGAAGGAGCTTAGGATCATGTGTCGTGGGCTGGCTCTGAGCCGGGTAGGCCTCCACGCCATCAGCAGGGTCTGTTAGAGGTGACTTGGTTTATCATCGCTGCCTCTTGTCCCTAAGGCTGTCATGGGCTGGACCCACTGATGTCCGGCTCTGTCCCCCAGAACCCCAGCCCAACTCACCTGCCCATCCTGGTCCCTCAGGAGCAGCAGCACTGGCCCACTGTGGCCTTCCATCTGCCGGTACAGGCTCCGCAGACTAAAGCCGTCCCTCGACGTACAGAAAACGAGACTCCAGGGGTGGCCGGTGACTCGTGCGGGGAGGTGGAGGCTAAGCTGGGGGCAGGGCTGGAGGTGAGTGAGGGGGTCCTCTCCCGCTGTCCTCCTTCCACCATAACCTCAGGACCCAGAGGACTGGGCTCAGCACCCCTGATGGGCCCGGTGCCTCACTGTTTCCAGGAACTTCGTGCCTCTTGGCAACAGCCCTTGGAGACAGGAGTTTTTCTTCCCATTTTATAGATAAGGAAACTGAGCCTCAGCAAGGTGAGGCAACCAGCCCCAAACCCACAGGAGAGTAAGTGGCAGAGCCAGGAGCCAAACCCAGGCAGGGTTTCACTCCCCTGGGTCACTTTGTCCTCAAGAGGCCAGAGAATAGATGGGATATACTGAATCCTTCCTCCCTGTCCCCCATCTCCTGTCCCACCAACACCCCAGACTGGCTTCAGTTCCCAAGACTGATTCCATCTTGGAATTAACGTCTTTTCCTGAGTTCTCAGCCTCTCCGCCCCGTGCAGAGGCTGCTGGAAACTTTACTGGGTTTTTACTAGAAAGGAAAGGGAAGCCCAGAGAGAAGACTCGATTCACCCAAGATGACACAGAGAGCTGGAGACAGAGATCTGTGACCCAGTGTCCCGGGAGTGGCAGGTGTGGGAAGAGTCCAGGGCTGAAGTCCTGGGAGGGCAGTGTCCGGACCTGCCTGATCTCCGAGGCACCGAGCACCTGGCTGGCTTCTGTCAGCTGGGGCTCCACGGGGTCTTCGGGGGTAGGGGCAGGAGCTGGGGCTGGGGCTGTCTCCTCTTCCTCTTCCTCCTCCTCACCCTCCTCCCCAGACATGGTGTCCTCCATCTGGCTGGGCTGTGAAGACACAAAGTCGCCAATGGGTTGAGGGACAAAGAGGGACCAACTTGCACTGTTCTCCCAGCGCAAAAGCCTCAGGCTGACTGCCCACCCCCTGCCCAGGTCCCTGCAGCCCAGCCCAGGAGAGCCGGGAGGTGCCCAGGACAGACAGGACTCTGCCCTGCCTCCAGCCTGCTTCCCCCCTGGCTGCCACCAGTGAATATGCAGGGTCACACACCCCAGGGCACAGTGCTGCCCGGTGGAGCCGTGGCCCTGCACCTGTCCACCTGTTTCCGCTGAACCCAGAGTGAACCCTGGCTTTTGAGTTCCATGTGGGGCAGGGGAGAAGGGCAGGTGGCAGCCCATCCTGTGAGATGCAGCCATTGGTGTTAGTGCCTGAATTAAGGACCACACAACACCAGTGGTAATGACAACGGCTGACATCGGCACGGCTCATGCTGGGCTGGGCGGTGCTGGGTGCTCGCCATGCATGAGCTCTCTGTATCTCATCCAGAATCCGAAGAATGTGCTTCTAATTTCTCCCTGTCAGCCAGTGGAACCATGTGGGTAGTCGCAGGTGAGAGTGTTTATAGGTGGCTATAAAATGTGTTTCTCCATGTGAATTTTGTTTTGGCTTCTCAGTGTGAGAAGGTGTCCAGAGTAGGTGAGTGTGTTACACGGCGGGTTACATGTCACTGTGTTCTGAGGGCAAGCTGGGAGTGTGTAAAGGTGTGGGTGTGTGGGTGGGGTGTGTGCTGGTATATCATTCACTCCCTTGAGCTTCCGCTCTGTACCAGGGTACTTGGTGTGTAAGTGTGTGTGTGTGTGTGTGTGTGTGTGTGTGTGTGTGTGTGTGTGTCCCCACACGCATGGACACTTGTGCGTGCATGCAGACCTACACAAAATGATTTCAGGCTTTTAGGAAGGAGAGACCCCTTAGAGAATAAGAAATGTCCAGTGGTAGAGCACCTGCCTTACACGTATGAGTTCGATCCTCAGCACCACGTAAAAATAAATAAAGTTTTGCGTCCATCTACAACTAAAAAAATTTTTTTTAAAAAAAGACAGAAATGCCCAGGACTCCTGCTTGCCCCTGTCCCCAGGCTGAAGAGCCCCTCACTGTGTGGGGGCCTCTGGACACAGCTCCATCTGAGGACCATGGGGCAGGGAACACGGGCCACAGGCCCTGCTCTAAACCCCTAGACGGCAGAGGAGGGACTTGAGAGGGGAACAAAGCACCCACCTGCCTCCAACCCCAGCCCAGGCCCTCCCTGGCCGAGATCTCACTCCGTCCCAACCTCACCCACAGCCCGAGCTGGACCCTTACCAGCCTCGTGTAACGCCAGCGGAGACCTTGCATTCTTCTGTCGCAGCCCTGCGCCAGGGGAGCCAGTCCCCAGCCCTGTCCAGGGAGGAAGTGCTATGACAGGCCTCGAGACAGGAGGGAGGCGCCTGGGCACACCTCGCTGGCTCCGTGCCACCCAGCTGCCCTTTGCTCCTTCCTCTCACCTGTCACCCCCTGGTGTCCCCTGGGTGGATCTGTGAGCAACTGGGCACTCCAGGCCGCACTGACAGCATTGATACATCAGCCACATGGAACAGATTCTAGCTGTGATTCCCTTCCTCCTCCTCGCCCTTCTGACAGCCTGGCCTAGGGACCTCGGCTCTTCCAGGGATGCCTGAAGCCCAGGCTGGGGGCCCAGGGCCTCTGACTCCCTGCTTGACCATGAGAAGCCCATTTAACCCCCTAGGCCCAAGTTTCCCTGCAGGAACACCTAACGATTGGACCTCGTCACCTCAGAGGCGCTCGCAGGACGGCAGCCTGCAACTCAGGCCCCTGCCAAAGCTGATGAATGCACCCCAGCAGGAGCTTGAAGGGTGCACCCAGGGCAAAGGAGCAGGTCCTTTAAAAACAATTTTTTTGAGCTAGGGGTGTAGCTCAGTGGTAGAACACTCTCGTAGTGTACAAGGCCCTGAGTTTGATCCCTAGCACCAGAAAGAGAGTGGGAAGTGGGGGGCATGGCTGCGGTGTCAAGGTTCCAATATTAAACACTTACTTGGCTGTGTGACCTTGGGCAAGCTATTTAACATCTCTGTGCTTCGGTCTGCATTTCTGTGAAACACTAATAGCTACCTCAGGAGACTGTTGTAAGAATAAATTAAAGTGGGGCTGAGGTTGTGGCTCAGTGGTAGAGCGCTTGCCTAGCATGTGTGAGGCACTGGGTTCGATTCTCAGCACCACATGGAAATAAATAAAGGTCCATCAACAACAACAAAATTTAAAAATAAATAAATAAATAAAGGCAATGCCTGAATTAAGATCCTTAGCCAGGCCTCCATCCTCACGTCCTTGACTCCATAAGATAACCCCAGTGTGCTGGGTAATCGCAGTGCTTACTACCGACCCCACATTACCTCTAGAAATCCAGGCCCGCCTCCCCAACAAGAGGCCAGCTTCCCACCCGGGGGCCTCTGGGACTCAGTCCCTCAGTCCCTCACAAGGTGAGAAGCTCGACTGGGGAGGGAAAGGTGAGAACCCTGGAGGCAGGGACTCACCCTGCCAGGCCCTGGACACCTAGTTGCCTCTGGCTTTCTGGTCGACAGTTTCCTTAGTGTCCATCCTTGATCCTGAGGAGAACTGGCCACATCAACACCCGACCCTGCCCACCTGACAGCAGCAGTTTTGGCTCCGAACTCCTGTCCCCCAGCAGGTGGCTGGCACCTCTGCCCCAGGCGGCTCTTATATTCACCCAGAAGGTGGCAGGCCCTGGCCCTGCGCCAGCTCCGGTTCCAGCTGGGACAACCTGTTGGTAATTATCCTGCGTCAGGAACTCAGATCCACAAACACACACAAACAAAACCTCAGCAGGCCTCTGCTCCGGCTCTGTCCCCAAGATCTCAAAGGTGGGGGATACTGGGCTCCTTGGCTCTTACCAGGAGCTCCCAGAGGCCTCCTGGTGTCTGATGCCCACTACTGAGGACCCTTTCCTTAAGGGTAAAATCTGTGATATGCAAATGCTCCAGGAAAGAGCAATGCGGGGCGCTCTCTGTAAACACCCTGCTATGGGGAAGCCCAGGGCCCGGCTTTGCCCTGTGGGCTCCCCCTCAGATGGTGAAGGACTTTCTTCATTGGCCCTGGGTATAGACAGGGAGGTCGTGCACAGCCCAGTGTGGCCCAGAGGACACTCTGTCGGTGGGCATTCTGTATCCCTGGCTCCCAATAGGACCTTGGCGACTGTTGTGTTGTTCAGTCATAAAAGTCAGAGCCAGAAGGGCTTCAGCTGGCCCCCAAGTGGGTGGCCCTGATCAGCCTCTGTTGGGTGGGTGAACACATGTCTCACAGGCGGCCCCCTCTTTACCCATCTAAAAAGACCCTGTCCCTCTGGCCTTGGTGGAGAGGACTTGGGCCCCTCATACTCTACCTCAGACCATGTGTCCTGGGGGCAATACTTCCTCCAGGAATCGGGGGATGCCAAAGGACTTCTATTTTGGGAAAAACAGCCAAGTGAAGAGTCCTGTTGCCACTTTAAACATGGCTGTTGCAATGTGTGTTTAAGCTGTCAACCGCCCAGGGTCACATGCCGGGCACTTCCTGCCGCCCCTGCCTGGGTATCCCCCTTATCCCCGTTTCCCCCATGCTCCACGCCCGACCATTGGACACTCTGAGAAGTCAGGGAGGGTTGCCGAGCTCTCCCATTCTTTGTCTGCAAATCCAGGAAAATTCAGCGTGTGACCTGGCAGCAACACACCTGTCAGGTAACAGCCCCCAGAAAGGGGAAGTAGTGGGCATCGGGTGCCAGGGGCCCTGCCACTCCCACTCTGCCCTACAGCCGGCCTCCTTCCTCCTCTGCAGACTGCGTGCCACCTCCCACTCAAACTGCGTAGTCATCTCCAGGAAACAGCTGGAGTGTCCCTTTACAGGGAGAAAGGTGAGTGACCCAGGCATGGAGCATCCACTCAGCGCCTCAGTGACACTGGCAGAGAGTTTAGGTGTGAATGGGAAATGTTTCCACTCTCCCGGTAAGAAAAAAGGAAAAAAAAAAAAAGAAAGAAAGAAAGATATGGAAGGGCACCTGCGGGACCATTTCAGCCACACAAAAGAAACTTGAAAAGACCAAGAGAAAATGAGAAGCCACTACGCCCCTTGTTCCCTGGGGTGACTGGGGCTGGTTTCACTTCAAGTGTTAAACAGGTGCCTGACATCCTCCCTCATGTGTCCCCAGAGGTCAGATTTCCACTCTCTGAGGTCATTCTCACAGGCTCGCACTCCCTGCTGCCCTCAACTAGCCACTTCATTCCTGTTGCCTGAATGTCGGCCACGCCCACCCTCCACCTCCACCTGCATCTTACCTGTGTCTTCTGTCTTCCCTCCAGAGCAATGGAAGACAGGTCCCTGCGGCTTTCCAAAGCCAGTCCCAGCCCTGGATGTGTCTTCTTCTGCAGACCTAGCTCATCTCTCCTGTCCCTCTTTTTTCTCCTTACTGGCCCCACCGGCTCTCTCCCTACACTCTGCCCCGACCTCCTGTTCACTCTTCAGTCTTCTCCCTGTGGCTCCTGTGCCCAAACCCTGGCTCTTTTCAAGGTCCTGGCAGCCCCTTCCTTGCTTCTGTGCTCCTTGGCTTCGGCTCCCTGTCTTTTGAGGCTGGTTTCTCCTCTTGGACCCACTTTCTAGAACCAGGAATTCCTACCTCCCTGATTCTAGGACCAGATTTTCATCCTACAGACCCTCTCCCTCAGTGACCTCATCGAGTCTCACAGATTTGACTGTTACCTAAATGTCAGTGACTCTCATGGCCGCAGACCTAACTGCTAGGCGGCGCTCTATGCTCCTTTGTCCCTTGCTTGAGTTTTCCATTGGATGCCTCCATAGACACTTCAAACTGAACATGACCAAAAAGAACTCTTCATTTCCCCCTCCTAATGTAGTACTCTTGTCCCTGACCACCTCCAAGCCTGTCTTTCCTGGCATAGTCAATAGGGCCACCTAGCTCCCTAGCTGAAGCCAGAAACCAGGGAGTGGGACTTGACTTTTTTTCTCTGAGTCC